GCAAAGCTTAAGTATATAACACCAACAGGAGTTTCGTACAGGTTCCGCGTTCAACCGGCGAGGAGAAAGAGTTTGAGGCGGTTTCCAGCCGGTCGGGGTGCGAGACTTGTATTAAGTATTCATAATTTTAATACAATCAAAGAAGTTACACCATCAATTTACATCTATATAAAAGGAATAGTCAATTTCTATATTGCTATATTTTTTGTAAGGAATTTTCTACCCAATGTTTCTTTGGAGAAAATTAGAAAGATTTTTTTTTTCCTTTGTTTTAATTTGATACACAATTTAATGTTTTCATGATTTTACAATCCATTATTGTCATTATTTGAAAATTTTATGACTAGTTAATTTGGTCAAATAACTATCTTATATGGATGATTAAATTATAAATATGACATTATACAAAAATTAAAATACATTTTTATATAGAAGCAAATAATTTTGTAATGTAATAGACATGTGCTATAGATCTATGCTCTTTAAATTGTTTTAATATTTCTAATATTTCAAGTTTATGATTTAATTTTATATACTTAATTTGGTCAATCTACATAAAAAAATTCATAGTTGTATAAAATTATTATTCAAACACAAGTCATTAAACTTTAAAAATTAAATTAAATTTACATAATAATTTATGTATATTTTTAAATATATTTTTATAGATACATATATAAAAAAACTAAGAAAATAGAATAAGAAAAATTATTATTCACTCCAAATAAATCTTAAATATCTAACATTCACTACAAGAAAACACTTCAATTCCAACGAAAAATTCTAACGGCAAAAAATTTCGTTGGAAATTCCAATGAATATTCCAACAAACTTAATTTTATGTTGGAATAAGTGTTGGATGGTTGAGAAATTCCAACGGTTTTTTTCCGTTGGAATAGTTGTAGGAATTTATTTCCATAGGATTTTCTGTCGGATTTTAGCTATTCTAACGGCCGTTTTTCCCACAAATTTTTAAACGTAGGAATATCCGTTAAAATAGCTATTCCACGAAAAATATACAGAATTCCAACGAAAATTTCCGTTGGAATGTAAGAGATTTTTTTGTAGTGATGGTGACATGTGATTGGACCCTCATAGTGGGTAACACATTGAAAACACAAATAAAAAATGTGTGTGAAGTTAGTTTCTTACATAATTATTTAACATGAAACACCACATGTGCATTTTTCCCGCATTAGTTTGAAAAATATTATGTTGAAAATAAATACAAATATGATATAGAGATAAACAACTATTTCAAACATCAATTACATGGCATTTAAATGACAAATGACACTAAAATGAAGAACTAATGGCACTCATAAATCATAGGCGTATTACTTGCTCAAAGTAAAAATAAAAATAACAATATATAATTTTATAAATTAAAGTGTAGAACTAATGAATAACTTATAAAATAATATAAGTTAAATATCAAATTGTTATTGTGAAAATATAATAAAATGTTATTTAATAATACATCATTTTAATTATGGTACTACAATTTGTGTGTTGTATGGTTGGATAAGCTAGTATTAGTTAAGAGTTTCAAAGGCCTTTGGCACTTTAGTTTCCATCCGCATGTATTTTGATTGACACAAAAACAACTGAACTATTTCTGTAAGGAATTTTTCCACCCAAAATTTATTGGAGAAAATTAGAAAGATAACAAAATGTTAAGCCATTAAAAATTACAAAGTAATTAATAACTTATAAAAAAAAATAAGTAAATTAATTAGTATAAGCTAGCTTTTTATCTGGATTTAAATAAATTATTTTTAGAATTTGAAAAATATCTAAACAAGTAAATTGTGGAACTATAAGTTCACGTCGAAATGAAAAACTAATTTGCATCCATTAACAAAAATAAAATATCCACTAAATTAAAAATGAAAAAAAAATACAAAATATAAAATGGAAACAAACATACATATATGTAATGTTTTAATTATTTTACAAACCATTAATGTCATTTTATTTGGAAATGTTATGACTAATTTATTTGGTCAAATAGTTGTCTTCTATGGATGATTAAATTTTAATATGAAATTATACAAAATTAAGATACATTTATGTTGAAGCAAATAATTTTGTAATGTAATAGACATGTGCAAAAGATCTATACCTTTTAATTATTTTTAGAATTCCTAATATTTCAATTTATGTTTCATATTTGATGTACAATCTACATAAAAAAATCCATAGTTATATAAAATTATTTTTCAAACACAAGGCATTAAAAATTAAACTAAATTTACATAATACTTTATGTATATTATCTAAATATAATTATAATATACATATATAAAAAAATACTAAGAAAATAGAATGAGCAAAATTATTATTTACTCCAAATAAATCTTAATAACATGGTGACTTATTATTGGACTCTCATAGTGGGTAACACAATGGAAAGACAAGTAAAAATGTCTGTGAAATTATTTTCTTAAAAATTTATTTAACATGAAATATCACATGTTAGTTAATTTTTCCCGCATTAGTTTGAAATACATTAGGTTTTTTTTTTTTTCCAACGATATAATTGATATAAAAACACAAAGCACAAATGTGCGAATACAAAGCAACCAAAGGCTGAATACACTTCAGCCAACAGCTGAAAAGACACAAGAAAAATAAACGAGAGGACAGGTCAGACGACCTAAGACCCGACTAGCAGCGCTAGAATAAAAACACAACACAAAACAACTAACGAACCACAGAAAAACTAAAACAACTACAAGACCCCAACAGGGGAATACCCAAGCGTCGGACCCCAACAGGATAATACCCAAGTGTCAAACCCCAACAGGGTAATAAGGTGACACTCAGGCGCATAGATTGACACTCGGGTGCACAGAGGCCAACCGGCCCAAACGGAAAACACTGAAATTAGAAACAAACCTACACGAAACAAGACAAACACAAAACAAACACTCGCTAAAACAGAACGAAAATTGGTAGACAACAAAAGCCCTTTCCACAGCGGAAAACCACACCGAGCACAACCGTGGCAAAGTCGAGCCCAAAATCCCAACCCAGAAACTGCAGGAGCGCCTAACTGGGTCGAAGACATATGGGTTAG